AAAAAAAAAAAAAAAAAAAAAAAAAAAAAAAAAAAAAAAAAGACAGAGCAAAGGCTAGAGAGATGGCTCAGGGATTAAGAGCACTTCCTGCTCTTGCTTAGGATTTGAGTTCAGTTCCTCCCACCCATGTGGCTTCTCACAACTGTAACTCTAGTTCTAGGGGCACCGGACACCCTGTAATGACCTCTATGGATACTGTACACATACATGCATGGAAAACACCCATACACATGAATAAACATTTTTTAAAAAGACAAAACAAAACCCAAATGCTGGAGCACAGAATAAACCCACCCATCCCGGATCATGGGAAGTTCTGACTTCAAGGACAAAGCCAAAGCCCAGTGCTGCCCGCATATAACCCAGCACTTGGGAGGTGAGGGCAGAAGGACCAGGAGTGCAAGGCCACCTTTGCTATAACTGGGTTCGAGGCTGGCCTGAACCCCGTGAGACCCTATGTGAAGTCACACTTCTCAGTCAAAAAAAGAAACTGACACTCAGTGGTCAGAACAGCGCAGATGTAGCTCCAGAGAGAACCAACAGAGGCCGCCCTAGAGCTCCGCATCATGTGGCTGTGCTGCTCTGGGGACAGGCAAGCCAGTTTCAGTTTAACTTTCCCATGCAGACCTGGGTAGGAGCAGAGAGCTCCCCGAGAAATCAGCCTGTGTGGTCCCTGGAGCGCTGGGGCTGCACCCAGGTTTTCACTGCCCCTCTCCCTGTGCGTTTTTGTTTCCTCTCCTCACCTGCAGTTGCTTCAACACCTGGAAAGCCAGCAGCTCCTGCCGAAGGTCATCTCCACACTTGACAATGACTGACAGGAGCCGCCAATTGGGAAGATGGCCGTAGGGGGAGCCTTCTCTGATCCTCCTATGAAGAAAGAAGTCCCAGGATAAGGACTCAGGCCGCAGTGGAAGTCTCAGGGAGTGTTTAGAGGTGGAAAGGCACTAGGGAGGCCGAAGTAAGCACCTGGAGATGCCTTGGAGCTCTGAGAGGAGTACCGAGACTACCCTCCACCCTCTACCCTCCTCACCGCACTTTCTCCTGCCAGGGCTCTTTGAGGGCGACTGCAGAAGGGTCTTCGGGGTCTCGTTTGAAGGCTGTGGGAGTGTGAGCCAGCTGTTCTGAAAGGCGCCGTCTAGCAGGAAGGAAATACACAATTTATTTGGAAGAGTTATTTCAGAGCTGCAATGCCTTTGTGCCCTTCTCCTTGCCACTGTTCCTAGAAGCATAATCAACAGCACTATTTTGCTAACCTGGTAGTTTGTGATCATGCAAAGAACCTGGCTTTCTTCATTCCTTTATCCCAATATTGATTCAGAAAGGGTATGACTCCAGAATCTGCATGTCCAAAAAGGTCTCCTCTCTCCCCTCAAAGTGAAGGATACAATTTGAGATCTCATTTTGATTCTTGGTTTTGGGTTTTTTCGTGGTGCTGGGAACTGAACCCAGGGCCTTGCACATGCTAGTCAAGTGCAACTTTGAGAAGCGATGCTTAAATGCCCTCTGAGGCACTGTCTTCTTTTTGGAACTCTCTTAAAATATCATTTCTTTTTGTAGTAGCTCAAGCAATGCCTCTATTGCACCTTGACTGCCTCAAGTATGGTGGCCCAAGGACAAGGACAGAATAATGAGATAAAGGAGAAAGACACAGGCTGATAGCTGGTGACTGGACACAGAAAAGGGATAAAGCTACAAGCAGAGCCTGGAAAAGAGGTTAAATGAAGGCTGATGTGATCTGGCCATACCGGATGTCCCCTGCTGCAATGAACACAGGCTCCTTGCTCTCCTGGCTGGTGATGCTGTCCACCGAGAACTGGGAGATGTTGTCACAGCTGTTGGTATGCACTTCAGGGAGCTGGGAAGAGCAGGTCAGAGGTGCTAAACACAAGATCCCTCTGGCCCGCCGGTCACTTGCCCCTAACTGTGGCGTACTGGCCTACCATTTCATTCTAGACTGCTCTCAAAGCCACCATGGTTCCACACCGTTATGGCCTTCTTGAGTTATGGATCTCACAGTGGTGTTCTCAAAGTGTGAACTACTCCATCATAATTCATGGAGATGGGTAGGAGATACAGATTCTCAGATCTCACTACCAGTCTAAATTGGAACTACTGGGGATGAAATCTAGAAGCCAGATTTTAGCAAATTTTCCAGATACCCCCAACACCCTTAAGTTTGTACACCATTGCCACAACTTTTGCAGAAATCATAATTTTTGACCTCATATTGAAAGCCCCATATGATTAGGGATGTATTATTCTCCCTCAGATTCTTCCAGACTAGGTTTCTTTGACTAGTTCTTCAATTTTTTTGTTTTGTTTTTTTCAAGGCAGGGTTTCTGTGTGTGTAACTCTGGCTGTCCTGGAATTTGCTCTGTAGACCAGGCTGGGCTGTAACTCTGATGTAGACCAGGCTGGCCTTGAACTCACAGAGACCTGCCTGCCTCCGCCTCCCAAGTGCTGGGATTAAAGGCGTGCGCCACCACCGCCTGGCTTTTTTTTTCTTTTTGAGAGAGGGACTCCCGTTTCTCAGGCTCCCTGCTTCCACTCAGGTGAGCCTCTACCTCCACCTTCGTCTCTTCAGCCTGACCCTCTAACCCACTTCTCCCTGTAACGCCTCTGCCAGGCTCAGCGACCTCGGCGCCGGCTAATGCACTTGTGCATCTTCATTCTTCTCCTTGAGTCGCTATGTCGAACCTCAACTGACTGTAAAAAGGTAGAGAGCTGTCTTTTTCACCAAATGCTGCTACATAAAATCTGCTCCGCTTGCCTTCCTCCAACCCCAGCATGGAGCTGGAATCTCTTCCCACAGCCAGCAGGACTGAATGAGTGCATGGCTCGTCAGGTCCTGTCAACCTCTCCAGCCTCATTCGTCACTGCTTCTCACCTCACTACACAGCCAACGCATACAAGTTTCTTTCAGTTTCTATCATGGAACTGAAATCCATGCTCCATTTTCTCTTCCAGTCTTTGTACACATTCATTCCTCTGTCTGAATGTTCTTTGTTTTGCTAATTCCAACCATGCTTCAGGCCTCAGCTGAAAGACTACTTCCTCCAGGAAATCTTTGACTCCCACCCCAAGTCTGGAGTAAATACCAACTCTGGGTACTTCCATAATGTCTCATGCTCCCCTCGACAGTGCAGATCACACAGTACTACAACTACCAGCTGTCTGGTCTGATTCTCTGTTAGGTCATAAATTCCTTGCAGGGATAAGCCAAGTCTTGTTCACTAGCATACAGTATTCAGGTGTGGAACACAGAAAGCCCTCCATAAACACTTTTTAAAAAAAAATTTTCAAGAAAGGTACAGACTGGGCTCAAATTCTCTATGTAGCCAAGGCTTGCCTTAACCTCGAACCTTCTGCCTCAACCTTTCAGGTGCTGGGATTATAGCTGTGAGTCACTACATACAGATATTAATATTTCTCTCTTTTTGAAATATTTATGTATATGAGTGTTTGCCTATATGTGCACCATGTACATACAGTGTCCACAGAGGCCAGAAGAGGGCGCTGGTCCTCTAAAACTAGAATTACAGACAGTTGTGAGCCACTACAAAGGTACTGGGAACTGAACCCAAATCTCTACAAGAGCAGCCAGTGCTCTTACTGGGAGCTATGTCTCCAGCCCCTTTATATATATATGTAATTTATTTGTTTTTGGTTTTTAGAGACAGGGTTTCTCTGTGTAACAGCCCTGGCTGTCCTGGAACTCACTTTGTAAACTGGGCTGGCCTCGAACTCAGAGACCTGCCTGCCTCTGCCTCTTGAGTGCACCACCACTGCCCAGTTCCCTTTATGTATTTGACTGAACACATGAATGGCTTGTCAGTCTCTGCTGATCTAAATCGACTTTGTGTAGCAGGTGTTCCATAAATGTTTTATCACATCTCCCTCCTCGCCTGGTCTAGATGTTCCTCCTGCAGAAGAACAAGC